CACACAAAAGTTTCATGTTAGTCATCAGATAAATGGCATGTAAGGCCATGTAAGTCTCACAAACAAACAAATATTCATTTATTTTTCAGAAATCTTCAAGCGCTCTTAAAACTACTTACCAAAATTGTGTTAAAATCGGATGACAAATATATGAACGCATAAAGGACGAACGAACAAATATTTATTTTTATATATTACACAAGTAACAGTTTTAAAAGGTAGCTATTACGGTAGCTAACTGTGAAGGATGGTGGTGAGAATCACCGTTTAAATATCTATCTGTATGGGTCTTTTTTCTATAACACCTTGAGCCATACTGTGTATAGAAAAAAGACCCATATATTTTATATATTTAAACGGTGATTCTCACCACCATCCTTCACAGTTAACTACCGTGGGTAAATCTTTGTTTCAGAGAGCACGAGGGATCTGTGACAGTAAACACCTGGCTGCCGAGCTCCACCATGTCAAGCAAGTTTTGCATGACAACAAGCTTCGAGTCCCGCGCCTACGTCACAGTGAACGAGTGAAGCCGGCCACAGTCGAGCGTGTACCAGCTGTACTGCCATATGTTAGAGGAGTCACTGACAAGATTGGCTACATCTTGAAGCGCGCTTCCATCAAAACATACTTCAAGCCGCTGAAGAAGATTGGTCAGTTTTTACCATCAGTCAAGTGTAATGTCCCTCTACAAGATGCAGGAGTGTACAAGTTTGATTGTGAATGTGGTCTCTCCTACATAGGACAAACTAAAAGATCAATAAAAACCCGCGTTAAAGAACATATAGCTGATGTGAAGAATCGACGCTCCGGGAAGTCTGCAGTCTGTGAACACGTACCTGATCGGCCCCGTCACTACATCAGATTTGACAGACCGCAAATCCTCGCTAAAGAACACCGATTCCTTCCAAGGATGATTCGCGAGGCTATTGAAATCAAAAAACATCCTAATTTCAATAGAGAAGATGGCTGGGTGCTACCATCTGCTTGGGATCCTATAATAAATAAAATTAAATCCCAACCCAAGCATACAACTGCAAGACTTCAAGATACCATAAGTTATAAGACCATAATTATAAGTGTATAGATCGGAACAAAAGTAAAATTTTATTCTATGGTAACCGCGGTTAACTATGACATATGGACGTTGAACATCTCAGTCCCGCCCGTGACCATGAGTGCTGTAAAGCGTTCGAAACGTCGGGTATTTAAAAAGTTAAATATACGCGATAAATTCCGTAAAAACTAGTATTATTTCAACATACATTAAAGTTTTGTAAATATACTGGATATGCCAAAACTAATATATTTATTACTTTAAGTTTCTCTGACAGACTGTCAGTTTTAGGTTATAAATAGCTCTTATGGCCACATTGGTATTTAGATTTTTAAAATTCGGTGGTGTAAATTTAATGCATTTAGTTTTATTAACGTATAAGTGTAGATTATAAAAGTTATACCAAGCCACTAATTTTGATATATCACTATTGTCTTCGTCACATTTAAATAAAAGACGTTTAAGTTTAAAAATCATGGAAGTATCATCAAGGCTTTTACACTGTACAGCAATATTTTAACTATGATAGGTAATAGCAACTTGACTGATACAAATTTACTTGAACAATTATGAAATCTTTATTAATTATTACCTATTTATTGATTACTTGTTGACGTTTAGTTATTAAAGATATTTTACTCATAAATATTATTATCTCGGTATTTTATAGTTGTAACACTTGCATGTCATTAATAATACATATTCAAAATATTCGTTTTAAAATATTGTTTCGAGCTACAACGCTTAAACCTTTACGAAATGGGACAATTTTGGTTTCATTAGATTCAGTAAACCTTAATTTAGGTCTGTACGAATACTGTTACTTTCTGTTTGAATTCCTCCAGGACTCATATTTGTGACATTTGAGATCGTCAGAAAATTTGATAATAAAAATGCCAGCTGACATTACGAAATTTTTGGACAGATCATTCACAATCATCTGTCCAAAAATTCACATCACAGTCCGTTTATGGAATGACTTGCCGTTATCAGCAAGACGCGCTCGATCCCTACCGGTTTTTAAGAAACATGTACTTTTTTATTATTTTCAACTTTGATTCTATTCAATTCATAAAAATTATATATATATAATACTGCCTTTATCTAGCTGCACTATTTGTTTATGTGTATAGCATATTTACGAGTATGTTATATGTAATAGTTTAAAATATATATATTAGTACTTTTATATATTTATATTTATAAAAATAAAAAATAATATGTTATTATTGTCGCCAAACCAACACATATGTTATTATTGTTTTCTTACAATCTTGTCCAACTAAAGGTTGTCTGGAAGAGATCGCTCTTAGCGATAAACCGCCACATTTCTTTCTCTCCTTTTTTGTTAAGATTTATGTTTTTTTTTTGCTTGCAATAAACTGTTTTCTATCTAGCTATCTACGTTTTTCTTTCTTAATAATTCAGTTTAGTTTTATTTAAAACAATAAAATGCTTGAGGAAGTTTCTAAGTCAATAATATAGATATTTAGCTGCTCTAAAGTGTAGGTATAGGGGGCTAATACAAGAACAGGTTACGAGAAATTATATCTTAGTATTCAGAGGTAACAACGCAATTTTAGCCTTTTTTATTTAAAATTGGCACAGGTGTCCCGTGAGCTGCAGTAGACATTTACCATCAGCTAAACTTAAAGTGCGTTTGTCACTTAATTAGTATCAAAAAAAAATCTTTTGCATTAGTTGTTTCAGAAGCTTAATTTTTTTACACCTTCAAGGGACTATATCATAAAAAGAGTGTCTTGATAGACAAACACTAAAGTTATGTATGGAACGATAGGCAAAACCGACGAAAGGAACTGAACCATTTTATGTCATATCAGTGAAAATGATCCAGTCTCGGCTGTTGTCATCGCTTTCAATACGTAACGCTTCTTCTCATGGAACGTTTAGACACTCGCCAAGCACAAAAGAAAAGGCACAAGTACGATCTTGTATACTTGTCAGTGTGTGCTCTCTACTCAGCCAGATTATTCGCCTTTTCTCCACTCGATGTCGGTTTTTTAGCACAAATCATAGGCAATTTCGTGTGTACTCTATCGGTGTTTACATACTCGTCATTATTAGTCAGTTGACCTGTGAACTATCATTATAATTTACTCAGCCAATTTAACGCTATAATTTTCTATAATACCTATTAAGAACTTCTGCGACAAAATATATAAAAAATATGAGTATAGTATAGTACTCGGTTCAGCTGAAATTAAAAATTTCACACGAGCGAAATTACTATTAAATGCATATTCTACTAAATACTAACGATTTCTATTACTGCCGTCTATTCATCTTTTTTTTTCATTTAAAATATATCTAAGTAAGTCTATAAAAGTTAAGTAGGAACAATGTAGTAGCAACGAGACATAGGTCATTCATGTTTAAAAATCTACGTTGAATGAACGAGCGAGAGACGAATAACATGTAAACGCGTCGTACTCGTCACTAATAACTCGGCAAGTTATTCAGTGAGTTATTCGTCCGATAATCTAAACGTGCCATAAAATAATCTTTCCCTCTCTTGCATCGAGATGACAAAGGAACTTTATAACATCCAGGTCACAGATTAAAGGTTAGTTTACGCTATCGTTTCAATAAAATTCTAGCAAGATACAGTAATGAAAGAAGTTTACAACTGATTGTTAATATTTTATAGGTTATCCTATAGAGAGGTTTTTTATATTAATAGTTTAGAATTACAAAGTCTCTATTATTTCTAATTGTAATTAGCACAGCATGAACAACCCAAAGAAAGAAAAAAGACGAGGCTATTGTTACCGAATCAGTAATAACAATTTTCTTCGAAGATAATAACCATTGTTTCTTTTGCTTTGAATCTACGTTGCTGAACCTTTTATATTTATTTATCTTTTAAATACAGAAAAAAATATCTGTCTAAGTCTTACTAATATTTATATAATTCAAACGAATCGTCACCATCATTAGGCCCTATCAAAAGTCTGTAAGTCTAAAGATGGTCTGGTAACCGCAGTGTTTTCGTAGTTTAAACTGTAATCAGAAAAATGCTTTTACATTTCCATCTGTTACCTCTTACGATACTCACGGTATGAATAAATGAAACGGAACTTTCACTGAAATGGATTTTTGTAATATGTTACTACCACACCAGGAATTTCTCTTGTATCGAGGAGGCATTTCACAAACGTGAATTGCACAACGACAAACATTCCGACACTGAAAAATTATTTGTAGGCCATATAAATACTTGTACCGTGCGCTATTCGAATCCGCAGCCGCCAGCGATGCAACTCATTGTTAAGCCACTGCGCCATGGAGCCATCCGTTTTTTTTTTAAATTTATTTAATAAAAACTTTGTATGGGTTAACTGGTAAAGGATGCTTCATGACATTAAGTCCGCCTTTTGTATTCTTTGTAATAGAAAATGCAAAATGAATAAATACATAAAACAACTTACCTTGGAACTAACATTGAAAAATGATTAGAATAAAAATTTTACAAACCATACTCTCAAACACAGAGTTCAGCCAAAACACGTTAAACAAAAACAAAAACAACTTAAATTTATTCTGAAACGTGCATTTCCGTCTAGACGTCTTATATGTCATGTATTTTTAGATCTGCGACTAGTAGGGCTTTGACATGGAAATAATTAGCTTTTGAACTGCTTTTTAAAACATTCTGATGTGATATTTTACAATGACAGATATGTACTACTTTGATTATATACTTGTCTAGACAAAGAGTCCGGGTGTCTAAACGTGCAAATAATATAAGCCAACTGTTCGTCGCGCCCGCTCAGTGACGACACTGTCATCATCACAGAGTACTTTTTGTATTGGTCATTGTACTGTAAACGCGTATTCTGTGGCATATAATAATAATAATAATAATACCATGAAACGGCGCCGGGTCTGGGCGTCTCCCGTTAAATGACGCCCTGTATGGATGATGGAACACAGAAGATTGCGCAAAGGGCCGCTGCCTGGAGGTCGTCAGGGCGCGTCTGGAGCTGGCGCTGGACGCGACAGCATGCGAACCGCCAGCCGAGCGCGAGGTGCTGCACGACCACCCAGCAGCCCCTCGCATCCATCATCCACACCAGCTTGCTTGGTGTCGGCAGGGTCTTCGCAGACCCAGCAATCGGCACCCGCCACTGGTGGAGTACGCCGCATGCGATGGACCATCAATATGAATACAAACGCATTGCGGGCGTATTTTAGGGCGAAAGGGGGAGAAATTGGAAGTTTCGCGTATCGGGCTAGGATGCATCGTCTTTTTACTGAGCTGGAGCCATCTATTACTGTCACCGAGCAAAACCTGGCAGACCGAGTTCGGTATATCTTACGCTCAAATATATTTGATGGCGCCGAACTCGAACGGCTACGACCTGAGGCTGTTCCCTCATCAAATGAAAACGCTACGACTGGGGGTGCGGTGCCACAAGTTGCAGAACAACCCGCACACGTGGATGCCGCCGAGAATACCCCAGTGGTTGCTGATTCAAATGATGATGGAACATTCACCCAGGAACTAGAAATAGAGCAAATGAGGAGTACATTGGAAGAGGCGATTATGGAAACGCGCAGTACGCCTCTCGAAAATCGACCGCGACTTCCCCGCATAGCCCTAAGCAAGCGGAATCGGGCTGTCGTGAGGGCTCTGAACCCAATACTGGTGACCTATTTGGAAGCCAGCCGGGACCTTTGCGAGACGGACTCAATTCTCTTTGGCGCCGCACTGGCAGTCTGCCGTATTATAGGCGCCAAACTTTCCACGGCTGGACGCACTACTGGACAAAGTAGTGCTATCCCAGCCTGGAGAACAAGAATTGAAGAACGTATCGCAAAGGCTAGGGCCCTCATCGGCAGACTGATATGCTTCAGGTCAGGCAATACCAGGCCAAGGATTGTGCGCACCGTCAGGATGGCGTTTGCTGCACAACGCACAAATGTTAACGTTTGTCCCAGCCGGATATAATGCAAAAACTGACGGAGCGCATAGACGACCTGAAGCAGAGAATCGCTGCTTGGGGAAAGCGAATTCGGCGATATACCGAGAGGTCGACACGGTTCAACCAGAATCGTCTCTTCCAGAGTGATCAGAAGAGGCTCTATAAATCATTGGAGCGACCAATGGTAAGTGGAACGGGCCCAGTACCGAATCAGGCCGACACGGTCGCATTCTGGCGCAGCCTGTGGTCAGAGCCCGTAAACCACAACGAGGGCCCTTGGATGGAAGTTGTGGCGAGTCAGTGTGCGGGTATTACGCCCATGGACCGGTCACCATAACGCCGGATGACGTAGCTGAGGCGGTCCGTAGGGCCCCGAACTGGAAAAGTCCGGGACTGGACGGGCTGCATCACTACTGGCTGAAGGGGTTCGTGGTGTGTCACACTGTGCTCGCCCGACAGTTTCAAGAGGTTCTCAACCAGAAGTCGCTCCCGAGCCTCTTCACTACTGGGATCACCCATTTGGTTCCTAAAGGCCAGGGTACCACAGACCCGAGCAAATACCGCCCCATCACATGTCTACCTACCATATACAAGACACTAACATCCATTTTGAGCGCGAGAATCACTCGTCACCTGGACTCAAATCAGGTGATGTCGCGCGCTCAAAATGGATGTCGGGGCGGCGGTCGTGGAACCAAGGAACCACTCCTCATTGACGCGGTCATTAGCAAAGTGGTGAAACGCAACCGTCGGAACTTCTCCGCCGCCTGGATAGACTACAGAAAGGCATTCGACTCGGTGCCCCATACATGGCTAAAGAGAGTCCTTGAACTGTACAAGATAGACTGTACAGTTAGAGACTTCCTCGAGCAGTGTATGGGGCAGTGGAGTACGATCCTTTGTCATCTGGGCGAGCGGATGATGGCTGCGGAGAACCACATAAGGATAAGAAGGGGTATCTTCCAGGGCGATTGTCTGAGTCCAATATGGTTCTGCCTCTCTCTGAACCCTCTCAGTACCTTACTGGAGGGCTCCGAGAGAGGATTTCAGCTACGTTAGGGAGGAACAAAAGTGACCCACCTTTTCTATATGGATGACCTCAAGTTATTCGCCTCCAGTCGCTCCCATCTTATGGAATTCCTAAACATCACTTGTGAATTTAGCAATTCTATTGGAATGGAGCTGGGGACGGATAAGTGTGCGGTACTCCATGTTGAGAGGGGAAGGGTTGCTAACTCTGAGGGCATAGACTTATCTATGCCCGTCAACTTAAGGACCCTTTCCGAGGCTGAAACATACCGATACCTGGGTATGTCACAGAACATCGGTATCGATGAGGCTGGTATGAAACAGTCAGTTTGCGACGTGTTTTATGAACGCTTGACCAAAGTGCTTAACAGCCTTTTGTCCGGTGTGAATAAGACGCAAGCATATAACGGCTGGGTCATGCCTGTCCTCATGTATACCTTTGGCATACTCAGGTGGACTCAGACTGAACTTAACGCCCTGGATAGAAAAGTCCGCGCTACCATGACGTCCCACAGGATGCATCATCCGAGATCGTCGGTAATGAGGCTGTACTTGCCGCGAAAGCATGGTGGGCGTGGCCTCTTGAGCGCGCTCACCATGCATAATCGCGAAGTGTGCAGCCTCCGTAATTACTTCCTGGCGAGATCGGATGATTCATTCCATAAGGACGTCATTTCTTGTGATAAAGGACTTACCCCTATATCCTTAGCCAACGAGCAATGGCAAGACCCGGCAGTGCAGACAATTTCCGACCGGGAGACCGTATGGAAGGAGAAGGAGCTCCACGGGAGGTTCTACAAGTCTCTACATGGGCCTTTCGTAGACACAGTAACCTCCCTCCACTGGCTACGCTTTGGTGACCTCTTCGGGGAAACCGAGGGTTTTGTCTGTGCAATACAGGATCAGGTTATTAAGACCAACAACTATCGGAGATACATCCTAAAGGATGGCACCATCGACATCTGTCGAGCTTGTCGCCATCCCGGTGAGTCACTTAGGCATATCATCTCCGGTTGTTCGGCGCTTTCTAACTCTGAGTACTTGCACAGGCACAACCTAGTAGCCAGAATTCTACACCAGGAGCTCGCTCTGAAATACGGTTTCGTGGATCGGAAGTTGCCGTATTACAAGTACTTGCCGGAAGCCGTGCTCGAAAATGATCGCGCCAGGCTCTATTGGGACCGGGCCATCATCACAGACAGGACTATTCTTGCGAATAAGCCTGATATTGTGCTGATGGACCGTGCACAGTCAAGGATATTTTTGGTCGACATTACCATTCCGTGTGACGAGAACCTCGTGAAAGCCGAAACAGATAAGCAAACAAAATATCTGGACCTGGCTCACGAGGTGACCGACATGTGGGGTGGTCTGCCGACCGAAATTATTCCTGTAGTCGTCTCTGCAAACGGGCTAATCCCAGTCAGCCTCTCGGGTCATCTGAGGCGGCTGGGACTACGTGGCGGACCGCTCCAGGTTCAAATGCAGAAGGCGGTGCTCCTCGATACCGCCCGCATCGTCCGCCGGTTTCTTTCCCTTTCCCCCTAACCCTCGGCCGTTTGGTCTCCCCCTGCCGAGGGCTTCCATCTGGTTGGGCTTTTATTTATTTATGTATTTTTTTTTAATTTTTTTTTTATTGATACGTATGTATATTTATCTTTTCATTTTCGTTTATAATTATATATTTATACATCCCAACCAGATGAGAAAACTATATAGATACCCCACATAATAATAATAATAATTAAATTTATTTCAGACCCACATATAGTCCATAATTATGTTAGTAAATTAGCCTAACTTATGTTAGTCTTAAATTAATACGCTCGCAACTTTCATAACAATTTTTTTGGCACCCCATGACAACAGGCACATGCAAGTGCATACGCATCCAGTGCCCTAGGATGGGACAATCAAATCCATCAGATATTGCCCTCAAAATGCTATTGGAGCTCCCACGATCCCTGCGCATGAGGGATTCTATTCTCTTTCGAATTATGGCATGAAAACCGTCCGTACCGTACGCTGTAAATATCCCTGAAATGCTACAATACCGCAGAAATCCCATCAGCAACCTGAAGGTATTATTATATTTTAACCGAAGGGCATTGTAGGATCTCTGCGTATACTTAACCCATAGACTGCACGTGTAAAATGACTGGCAAAAGGTTTTGAAAAGTGTTACCTTAACTTCTTCTGTACAGCGTGCAAAGCTACGGAACAGCATGTTACAGCGAACCGCCAATTCCTTTCTTTCTCTTTCTATGTCCGCATCATCAGTCAGATCCTCAGTTAAAACGTGACCAAGATACCTAAACTGATACACCCTATTTAACTGTACGTTCCTTAGCTTAACAGGTGGAATCGTTTCAATTTTTGATCCAGATCGAAATAACAACACTTCACTTTTTTTACATTACAAATGAGACCGTGAGTCTCAGTATAAGTATCACAAATATTAAGTAATATCCTCAGTGCATTAATCGATGGGCTCAGCAACACCATGCCGTCTGCATAGCTTATACTGTTAACGAAATGTCCATCCATTGAGCAGCCGACACCAGCGTTGCTGAGCTCAACGATCAACTGGTTAATATACAGGTTGAAGAGAACTGGTGAAGTCAGGCCACCCTGTCTCACCCCGCACTCTAACCTATACTCGTTGGAAAGTGCCTCTGTCCATCTGACCTGATTTATTTGGTGGCCATACCAGTATTTAAATATTTCGATCAACTCGCTTGGTAAGGCCACTTCACGCAGCTTCTTCCACAGAATATCATAATTAACTAGGTCAAATAACCTTGACAGATCCAGGAAGGCAGCGTAAATTGGTGTTTTCCTACTGGTATAGTACCTAACAGTATGCTTGAGTGTTAATATTGCACTCTCAGTGGAGAGACTCTTTTTAAATCCGAACTGAACTTAAAATAACTACTTTATGAAAAATATTCAAGAGATGGGATCACTCAGTTCGCCCGCGTGCATCAGCACTGATGTAGCCCGTTTGTTGAACCATAGTAGCTACCCATACTTATGTGCGCATGCGTATCTGGTACAAGCGCTTCAAATCTGGCCTGTTGTTTTTTTGGCGATTGCAGCGCAACGCTCTATCTAGACAAGTATATGTATAATCAAAGAGGTTCTATTGTCTATACTCTAAGATATATCGACAAAAGATACTTGATAGATAATCGCAACAATTTCCAAATAACTCATATTTGTTAACTTCTTTTTAATGGAGAAATGGTGACAAATGAGCACACAATCCATATGATGGTAAGTGGATGTTGTGACCAACAGACATCTCCATTTATCCTTGTTTAACTATCAAAATGCAGATGCTTTGTCACCCCTGAGGACTATGCCGGAATGTCTCGTTTCCAGTAAAAAGGAGACCCTTTTTTGCACTTATCATACGAAACACATCAGCATTAAACTGCAATTTTACAACGGTATTCTGTGAGAGCGTCTTCATGCTCCAGTCGAGGCGATCCATTCGTGCTACAACCATAATATACGAGTAGCTGTGGCGTCATAAAAATCACACAGCAAAATACACCTGCTGTTTGTAGGATTTTGCAGTTAGCATGCAGTACTTGCTAAATCGATATATGGTGGCGGCGAATAGAAATCCACGAACTTATTTTCATCCCGCGAAGTCGTAACAGGCGATATGTGAAATGCCACTATAAACCTTATGGCCCATGTTAGTCTAGGACTCATAGGGTCAATAGTTGTGTGGAACTTGCGACCAAAAATAATAAGTGTGACTTACCAAGCATTTCATGAAAGGCGACTTATGAATTGGGTTTGGGATTGTGTAATGTGTAAATGATGGGCTAACCATAGCACAACCTATATTACTTACTTCATAATTTTTCGCCTAAGCCTATAATTTTTGACTAAATGTGGTCCGTGTAGCTTACGTCTGTTTAGATTCTGCTTATCCTCTGAAGAATTACAGGCGTTTTACTACTATGTAACTCTCATGGTTTTC